TTATATCAGAATAGTTGGATAAATAGCCACAAGAAAATAACAAACTAGCCTAACCTGTCGGATAAGAAGTCTATATAGAGTAAGATAAATAAACGTGACATAATAATAACAATTCCTTTAATGAATAGTGAAACACGTTAGTTATATGGAATCGGGGCTATTTGATGTGAAGGATGAAAGAAACACTTATAATGTTGGTAATTTATATCTTTTTCCATTCTATTTCTGTTTCTCTTCTGATCAATGATGGATGATAAAGGCTCAAGTTCAAAATGGGCAAAACATGTTAGTCATTTGGGTTCAGTTACATTTTTACTTTGAAGTTTAACCTATATTATTGACAAAATCATAATCTGGAACGCAGGTGCAATATCCAACATACACCGACTTAGATACCAATGACAATTTGGGTTAGCCACTTTTATTCAACATGAAACCATAGTTGTACGTGGTATCTGCTATATCATTTTTGTAAGCATTTGTTTCAAGTGGTAACTAAACTTTTTATGAGTATTTGAAATACATATGGCATACACTTCAATTGGCCTGAAGTATGTATATATATGTACTTCATTTAGCGATATGTCTTATTCGATTAAAGTTTATTTGCAAGCCATTGAAGGATGAAAATGAATCCAACAATCAATTAGATCGCAAAGGATGACGAAGAGGAACTTTTGGAATCAATAGTGTTGACTGAGGTAGGTTCTTAAGTAATTAACTTATATGTCTAACAAATTTGCCGTCAGTTTTGACTCTTGAGTCTTGACCCCTCAATATGGAAAACACGAAGATCAACCAAAATTACATAATATGATCCGTAGACTATTGATTAATTTGCAATATTAGTCCTCTCATTTAACATGTTAACCTTTGTAGCCCCTAAATGAAATTGTCTATGTCAACTTCGTCAATCATCACTAACATAAACACATATGAATCAAAACTCATCACACGTTATCCATGAGCAAAAGTGATTTGTTTAACTATGTTATTTTATTGTATACTAATGACTTGGTTTTTAAAGTAAAATTGAACAATTTTACATGAGAATATGATCAATTAATTAAAGAATTTCACTGTTGATTGTAGAAATTTAATTAAAGAATTTGTATCCCCTTAACTTCTCATAGTTCATTCATAAGTAATATCATAATTTATGTTCTTATAATTTAGTTTATGGGAAATAAAAATATTTTTCGTTACATTTGGACAAAAATATTGTTTTACAAAAGATATTGTTTTATCAAATATTTTATAAAATAGTGACTTTCAAAAATGGTATTTTTATATGCATGTTACGTTAAGTTATTTTTTAATTTTAAAATAAAACCATGCTTTTAAAAAAAATAGTGTTATTCTTATTTTCAATATATCAAATTTTATATTTGATGGTATGCCATCATTATTTATTTATTAACTATCACAAAAAGTAATGTTCTTATTATTTATAATTAATTTATAAATTATTTTTAAATAAACATAAAATACTTATTAATAATATACTGTTTCAATGTGTTATATAAACAATTGTTCTTAAATTTTTCTGATTAACTATTATTTTTTATTTTTTTATTTTTATTATTTTAAAATTTCAACCACCGTTTATAACCTAGTTACATAATATGATCCGTAGACTATTGATTAATTTGCAATATTAGTCCTCTCATTTAACATGTTAACCTTTGTAGCCCCTAAATGAAATTGTCTATGTCAACTTCGTCAATCATCACTAACATAAACACATATGAATCAAAACTCATCACACGGAGCAAAAGTGATTTGTTTAACTATATTTATCTTGATTATTTTTATTTGATGCCTTTGATTTTTTGGGCTTTGACACCTTTGAATTGGTGAAGGAAATTTGTATTAAAATATCAAATTTTATTTTTGAAGATAAGAATTTTCTGCAAAAACACGAAAGCCCATCAGTATTTTTTTGGCTTAGGGCCACAACTTAGTCTGACTATAACTACCTAACATTTGTCGATACTCGATAAAAGAGTTCTAAAAAAATGAGAACACACACGCTGATTTGCCATAGCCCATCCTACATGTTCATTAGCATCATTAATTATATACATATATTAAAACCCATGTTACTTTTGAGTATTTACCTTAAAAATAATCTTTTCGTTGACACAATTACTAGAAGAATGAGAAAAAAAAATTATAGGGTATTACAGAGTAAAAAGATCAACATATGATATGGATTATTGATCCATGATTAACAAATCCCCTAATACAACGATGCATATCTGATTTAACCTTCGTGGTATTGTTTGCATCTTATGCAATAGCATTAAGGAATGAGGTCATTTATCAACAAAGGCCATTTAAATAAAAGAAAAAAAACAAAACAAATAAAAAACCGTCCGGTGGTGAACAACGGGATCACCACCTAGTTACCATTAAATCCCTAAGAGCTTAAAGATGAAGGAAACGATTACCTCACAAGCTTTTGATGTATAATCCAAGACGTAAGCACTTTTAACCGCCACTTGACCCTCCTTGATTCTTCAAATCGTTGGAGCTCCTCTATAGGGGTGCTTAGGGCTGCTTATGACGAGAATGAAAGTCTTAACTACCTTTAATATGTTGCAACACCACACCATGGTACCAGTTGACCCGTGGTCGAAAGCAATCACTTAATTGCCACGTCATGGTCATCTGCTTGCCTTACCGTGGTGCCCTTTCTCAACGACATCCTACTTTGGCCATCGCGTCGCAGGGCAAAGTACATTGCATTTCTTTCTTACAATGAAGTCCCTCCACTTCATGGTCATCTATCCACCGTGCCGCAGTAGCTGCTTGACAAAAGCCCATTGGCTGATTCTATTCCAGCTTTGGGATATTTTTGTCCCGACTTATAATGCTCATAACTTCTTTGTTTCTTATCCGTTTTCTATGATCTTTATATCCACGCGAAGGTAGGAACATACTTTACAATTCTATTAAGTCACTTCTTGTTGACTTAATACAGGTCTTAATTTATTAACTCATAAACTTTGGCCAAAAAGCATTCAAAACCCATTTTACCCTTTTGACAAAAAATGCATCTTCCAATGCATTCTTTCTCTTGAACTTACTCATCTAATCTTATCTTAGTGACTTCAACTCTTATTTGGCTATTTTCATGAATCTACAACTTCATGTTTTCATCTTTTTCTCATAATTAACCATTTTTTCACTTAGGTCAATATTTGACTAAAAGTTAACTTTTTCTAAATTTCAGGTTCTTACAATATTTTCATTTAGTTACATTATTTGTGCACCTAAAATCAAATTACTATCGTAAAGATCTACAACGATTAAAATTATTAATATATATTTTTTTCTTCGAATGCTTTTTTTTTTAATATTTCCTCATTTTAACTACAACAAAACACAATAAATATCAAATATATTTGTTAACTTATACTATTTTACTATCATTGTTTATATTACAATACACTGTTTAAAAAATTGACCAATTACCCCATTGTCATAAAAATACAAAATAATTTAGGCAGACACATTAATCATAATATAATCTCACAAAAAATGTTTATGAAAAATAAAAGTGATACAATAATACAAAAAACTGATCTAGATTTGTGAACTATTTACAATAATGTCGTGAAAACGCTAAGTTCAAAAGATGATTTTATTATAGGAAATACTGATTAAATATAAAAATATCGATCATTATGCTGATCTCTATGAATAAGTAAGAAAGTTTGTATGATTCCAATGTGAAATCTCTTAAATGAATTGAAATTGTAAGAAATTTGAATTTGATGGAACCTTTCACTATTGTAAAACTAGTATTATTAAATTTTCAGTATTGAAAAACGCTTTTAAGTTAAAAAAACCACTTTATTTAAATTTTAATTTATTTTAGCGGTCTGCAGACATTAAAAAACAAATAGTCTTCTTGTTAGAGACTCCATACGTTTGATCCACATTTTCTAACGCAGAGGTTTGTAAATCTAGTCCGTAGACTACATATCTTTTGCATCTAAAAAAACCATGTTTTTTTTTGCAGACTGCAATAGTCCGCCTTATGATCCCATTATTTTTAGTTGACGAGATATGCCATATTTATCGTAAGGCATGCTTGGACTCTTTGAAGGACGTTCTTCTTGACATTTTTTTTATGTTAGAGTTTTTGCCAATAAAAGGCACCTATGAACTTCTTGGCTGACTTATTGAAAGAAAGATCAACACTTAGATTAGTTGATATTTTGGTTTTTGGATGAGTAGAATACAAACATGCTTTTGTGGATCTAAAACCTCGGCTTGGTGAGTGGTGTATTTAATGTGGAACAGACTGCTTTAAAGGTTGCCTCATGCAAAATGACAATACATGAGAAAATATGCATGTAAAATCAATGCACATTTATGTCTTTTACCTTTGATACTTTTGATTTCCCTATGGTAGATGATATGTAAATTCTTAATAGATATGACCCCACCTGTTATGAAAGTGAATTTTAAACATTTATGCTAAAAGAATATATATCAAGTAATCAATGAAAAAAAACCAACACCCAAATAAATAGATAAAAATATTGAATTTTTTTTAAAGACAAATGTAACATAATCCTAAACTATCCCTTAATACATCTATATCTATGATGTGAGACTTAAACCTTTAACTTAACTTTAAAGATAAGACAAGATCTACATCGGGTAAATATTGAATCATTTAACAGTAAGCATTTTTTTTAAAATACCATGTCGACATTAAAACATGTACGTTCCGGGGGAATTTGAGAAGTCATTCTTTGTAATTAACATGTAAAAACCGCACAATTTCCTAGAACTTCCGTGGAAACCGAAAACATCCTCAACAAAACCAAACTACACTACACTCCCAAAAAGCGCACACCATTTTCTTCGTGATAACGTAGGAACTTAAAACCTCGCCGTGTTTTGAACACCAGGATTCCACCCAACCAACTTCAGTTTCAAACTCCAATTTTCCAACTTCCATTCATCTCTTCCATTAACCAATGGACTTCGCCGCCGGCGAAGACCCCAAACAACAACAACAACCGATCGAACACATCTTATCGTTCCCAATAGTTCTATCTGATCGAATCCGTCAAGCCGTTGACGAATCAAAATCCTACAAACTCGAATGTACCGAAGTCGGAAAACTTGTCGACCGTCTCTCTCAGATGCTCCGGTCTTTCGTCCGGTTCACCAACACTGCGCCTTCCCTCTACGACCGCCCCGTCCGCCGTGTCTTCGCCGACGTTACCAGAACTCTAAAACGCGCCCTAGTTCTTGTACGGAAGTGCCGCCGTCGAAGTGTGTTCCTCCGTGTCGTCACTATCGTAGGCGCCGCTGATTTCAGGAAACTTTTTAACCTTCTTGATGCATCAATTGGTGACATGAAATGGTTGCTTAGCATATTCGACACCGGCGGAGATTTCGGCGTTGTTCTATCTTTACCCCCAATTGCGAGTAACGATCCGATTTTAGCATGGGTTTGGTCTTATATATCTTCACTTCATTTATGTCCTTTAACTGTTAAAATCGAAGTCGCAAATGGGTTATGTTCATTAGCAAATGATAACGATAGGAACAAAAAAATCATAGTAGCAGAAAGTGGAATTCCGCCATTGTTAAAGCTTATGAAAGAAGATACATCACCGGAAGCCCAAATTACGGCCTCCAACACACTCTTTAACTTGGCAAACAATCAGGACCGGGCTAGGTTAATCACACACGAGCTTGGTGTCCCAATTATAGTACAATCTTTTCAGAAATCCCCAATTAGGGTTCAGATATCGATCGTGAAATTAATTTCAAGAATGGCGGAAAACGATGAAGTTTCACAAGAGGCATTTGCTAGAGAGAATGTGATTAGACCACTCGTTACATTGTTATCATTTGAAACATTCGTTGGCAATGATTCCCAGAAGCAAAGTATTCATTCGATCGTCCAGTTTAATAAACAAGATACAAGAAATTACACTTCATCTTCTTCAATGTGGTCGATTAACAGAAAAGAGAGACAAAACGAGCCATCTGAATTGAAACTGGAATTGAAAACTAATTGTGCGAAAGCCTTATGGATGCTTGCAAGAGGTAATCTTGCAAACAGTAGGATAATAACAGACACAAAAGGGTTACTCTGTTTAGCTAAAATTATCGAGACAGAAAAAGGTGAATTGCAGATCAACTGTTTGATGAATGTCATGGAAATCACAGCTGCAGCAGAATCAAACCCTGATCTCAGACGTGCAGCTTTCAAGTCAAATTCCCCCGCTGCAAAAGCCGTAATCGACCAACTCTTGAGACTGATTCATGATTCCGATTCCGATTCTGATGACTCTCCAACCAAGATTCCGGCGATCAGAGCGATCGGTTATCTGGCTCGAACTTTCCCCGCTAGAGAAACCCGCATCATCGGTCCGCTAGTGAAACAACTCGGTCACTGGAATCCAGACGTCGGAACGGAATCAGCCATCGCCCTCGGGAAATTCGCTTGCCCAGAGAATTTTCTATGCACAGAGCATTCAAAGACTATAATTGAATTTGATGGGGTGATGCCTTTGATGAGATTGTTGAGAGGGAGTGAGAAGACAAAGTATCATGCGTTAGTGCTTTTGTGTTACCTTGCTATGAATGTTGGAAACAGTGAGGCTCTTGTACATGCGAGAGTGTTGACAGCTTTAGAAGGGGCTGATAAAGGCATTGTTGGTCAGCATTCAGAGTTGAAAGATTTGGTGGTTCAAGCTATTTATCATCTAAATATGTATCATGCTGCTGTTGTTCCTTGAAGACAAGCAGTATATTTGCATTTAAGAATTTTGAGGTGGCAACTATGCATTTTAGGCTAACAATTAATTATTTACACTTGTAAATGTATAGCAACTATTAAATTGGTGACGTTGGTGGTTGATATAAATCTTTGTTATATATGTGATGGGACTGGACCAACTTTCCAGGATTATTTTGTTAAGGACATTAACTTCTTTTCAGTAGAAGAGAGATGTGAGTTATTCTTTTTCCCACATTTCTGAGTGAGAAATTAAATATCATTTTGCTTTTTGTTCTTACATATTCTTCTATCTAATTAAATAGTGATATATGTAACATTTAATTCTCATTTAATGATATTTTAGTATACCAATATGACACATGTTATCATTTAAATGGGTAGGAGGATATTTAATTTCTAAACGTTGTATTTCAAGATTTCCATGGCAATCAATCTTTCTTTTGGGTACCATGATTCCATAACTGAGGCTTATTACGTACCAGAGGGCATTTCGATATGTTTTTTTAGACTGATTGTGGACAAAAATGCTAATTTTTACAGCTTTTAACTGATTTTTTTACCTAATTAAAAATATAATACCATTTATAGTTATCAGGTTTTAAATATAATTAACATTAATATGATTATTGTTATAAAAAAATAAATCAACAAAATCTATTAATATAAGTAAGTTAACACCAATATATGGAACATTTACTTTCTTACAAATAAATTATTATAAAAAATATCTATTTTTTTAAACTACATAAGTAAAACTAAAATTTTAAACATACCAAATTTCTAATATAAATAGATAATACGAGATAGGAATAGGATGGTACGTAAACAAACATATATCGTGTAACTGTGAAACTCATTCCTGTCTCATCAATATATAATCTTTTTTTATTTAAATTTAATTAATAAAGGGCTTTGTAGTAATTTGTATATACTGTTTAATTTAGTTATAAAAATAAACAACTAGATTTATGGTAACAGAATAATATTATTGACTATTTCTAATCATATGAAGATATTGTGGTAGATGAAATAGCAGATTCGTAGAATAATCAATCGAATCTTTATCAAAATAAGGATTGAAAATCAATTATAAATTTTAGAATACTCACGATAAAGTAATCGAAGAAGAACATGGTCATTCTCAATGGATTTCGAAGGGATTAACGAAAACTGGTCATGTATTGAACTAGACCACACTCCTACTCGGCTCCGACAACCCTGCTTAGCTATCTGCTAACAACACTCATGCTCACCCCTGATCCGCTAACCGACAACAACACTCGGATCTACCCCCGATCCACTAATCAACAACAACACTCGGCTTACCCCCGATCCACTAACCGACAACAGCACTCAGGTCTACCCCCAATCCACTAATCAACAACATCACTCGGGCCCAACAAGTCTTAACTGATCCTACCAGGTCTTCGGGCCGTGACTCAGACCTCCAAGCCCCAATCAAACAAGAACAAACAAAGAAGCTGTAACCTCCCAAAGATTACAACAAATTTAAACTTTTCAAAACAACTCATTTACTAAAAAAAAAGTGTTTACAAAACCATTGTTTTCAAACATTATTTAAAAATCAGAGTCTCCCAAGATCCAATTTCATAAAAACTGGAAGATGTACACGATCATGTCTTCGCTTTCCCACGATTCTTTGGAGTACTTGAAACCGTAAGCACGAAGTCTAGTCAGTTTCCCCAAAGTACTACCATGTAAACAAAACAAATAACATGTACTGGGTCAACAGCTAAAAGACGGGATTACCCCTGAGCCCATAATATGAGTATGGCTTGCCTATCGGGCCCACAACTCATATATGGCTTGCCCCCGAGCCCACAGCATAAGTCTGGCTTGCCCTCGGGGCCCACAACTTATGTCTGGCTTGCTCCCTGGCCCAATCACTCATCTGACTGGAATGCCAATATACAATAGGTCCACTCAGTCATCAGATTGGAATACCCTCGGCCCTCATTATGAGCCTGACATGCCAATTGGGCCCTCAACTCGTATCTAGAATTCTCCTGAGCCCTCAGTATGAGTCTGGCATGCCAATCGGCCCCTCAACTCATATCTGGAATGCTCCCGGGTTTGTTGGCTACATCACAAAGCAATACAACCTCAACCCAACACAATATGTCGACATATACATAACAGATAAACATATAATCACTTAACAGGCAAACAGACAGATCTACAAATCACCACTGCATAGCAACATCCTATGAACTAGGATACAAATCTAACAGATTACTACAACATAGCAACATACGGTAAACCAGGATAACAATCCAATGGGCCGACCTTGGTGCCTTCGACCCAAAAGTATATTGAGGAAAAACTCGCCTCTCAGCCTGAAAACAATCTGAATGAATCTCTGCTCCGACAACTGGCTCTAAAGGTCACCTATTCAACATATCGAGACCAAGGCTTAACTATAGCTCGAAATACCCAAAATACCCTTAAGTCAAACTTGGTCAACCCTGGTCAAAGTTAAAGTCAACGGTCAAGGTCCCAAAAGTCAATATAGCTTCCCAGCGGAGTACGCCATGCCTACCAAGAGAGTACGCCCAACGTACTCTGATGTTAACCAAAAAGCGGGGCGTTGACCACGTATGCACAATGTACCTCCAAGTACGCCTAGCGTACACAACCTAGTCCCAAAACTCCATTAAGAGCTTATTTCATTAAGCCCTTCCGTCCAAAACTTAGACTCAAGCCCAAAATGAAGTCCTAAGTCATAAAGTTTCCAACTTTATGACTTTACATGGCTATTAAGTGCTTAGTGTCCAAAACCCTATGTTCTTTACCCAATAAGACCATCTAACACATGCATGGGTTACATACAATACTCAAGATCATATTTTTTATGGTTCATAATAGCTCCATAATAGATAAACTTTCCAACTTTATCCATTAGAATGGTCCCAACAAACAAGATCTAGTTTTTAAGTCTCAAAGGGACCCAAAAGTGCATCTTTTCAACTTAATTCATTAAGTCCAAGTCTCTAACCTTCATATGTGAATCAAAATGATGCTTAGATGGATAAAGTTTCCAACTTTATCCATAACAAGGTCACAGACTTTCAAGATCTAAAATTTATGCACTTAAAGTGACCAAAAGCTCTTAACACCCAAAACTAGCTAGATCTAACAATTTCATCATCAAGATTGAAACTTTATACCTCTAGAAGAATAACAAGGTGAACAAAGTCTGGATCTACAAGATCTAATGCAACCAACACTTCTTCAATGAGTTCCTTCTTCTCCAAGGTGCACCAAGAACACTCCAAAGCACTTAAAACACCTTATTTTTGCTCACAAGGGTCAATCTAAGGTTAGGGTTTCAAGAGAGGGTGTTAGAGAGGTGGTGTGACAACCCGAAACTTTTTCCGTTATCCTTACTCAATTTCCGTTAATCAAATTCGGGTTTTTATTTAATTCCGTCAAATTTGATAGTTTGGGAAAGACTTTGCGTTTAAATAAATCAATTCGGATTTATTTATGTTCATGTCAGTATTATTTTTGGACTAACAGAATATTCTAAACTTAATGCATCAAAGGAATCAGTGTTAGGATGAATTTGTTGAAGTTCTAGGCATGAAGTAAACCGAAAACCTCCTCGAGAAGGAGTTTTCGGTCAAGACCTTAGAGTTTTTGGTCAAGGGACCGAAAACCCCATCTTACATATATATTTTTTTGATCATTTGGATCATTCTTTCCTTTTCAAGCAAGAAAACATCCATTCTCTCTCAAGTATCATCGAGTTCTTCACTTTGATCTTCAAGTTCTCGAAAAATGTAAGTGTTTCTTTCACCTTGAATCGTTGATAGATCTTCCTAACTAGCATCCCCCTTCGATTTCATCCATTAACTTCATCTTTTTGGGTTTAATATTCAAGAACACCAAGAACACACACTAGTGTTTTGGTCCAAAAATCAACTCTTTTAGCCTCTAAATCGTAAGTATAACTTTTCTGCACTTATTATCTAGTTGAAACTCTTGTTTAAAGCCTTGAAAATCGTCATTTTCCAAGAACAAAAAGAGTTTTCGGTTTAGTGCATCTCCTTAAACCGAAAACCCTAAAGAAAAGTGCCTTTAAGACCTTAAAACGCACTTAAGGCTTCAGATATAACCTAGAACCCCTTTGCATGTTTGAAAACCGTTGAGAAACACCACATGCATCAAAGATCGGGAGTTTTCGGTTTTGGACCGAAAACCCTTCGGACCGAGAACCCTTCTGACCGAGAACCCTTCGGACCGAGAACCCTTCTGAACGAGAACCACTTGGACCGAAAGCTCCATTTGGTGACCATACACTCCTCTTATGCAATCCTAAGTGATTGTAACACTTCCATTAACGATTTCTTAGTCCTTAAAGTGTTATTCTTTACCTGATTAGTTGAGTAAGCACTAATTGTATACATATATATATATGTCGTTATATGCTAAATAGGATCCGTACGCGTGCTCAAGACTTCACTTGACACTTAGCATCCTTTTTCCGATCTTACATTCGCATCACTCACTTCAGGTGAGTTCATACCCCTACGCTTTTTCCGAGTTTTTCATGTTTTCAGGGGGGAATACAAGCAAAAGTACAAGAAAACTTGTACTCAAGTATATTATTTTGTTTAAAATAATTATATGTTCAGTATGCTTTTAACTCAGAAAACCGTTTTACCAATCGATTAAGAAATCAACTCGTAGAAACAGTTTTCATAACTAAAGCAAGGAACTTGTAAATCTTATCATAGAATGTGATATTTTCTAAAGGATTTATACAAAACATAAACAGGATTTTCGATGCTATTACTTGTAAGTTTGTTATTTTAGGATTGGAGACACGTCCTTGGTAACACTCCACCGGATTCGTGAGTGTAGGACAAAGGTGCTATTGAGATATTGGGCCCTTATGGTATCTCGTACACATTCCATTCTTCAAATTCTTGGTCTTGCAGGTTGTGACCGATCAATCAGTCTCTACGATCGGAT